GTCATCGGGGGAAAGTAGAGTGTATACGTCAAAAAAACGTATGCCCACATGGCTTTTGTTTTGTTTGTCATTTGCTCCTTAAACTGTGCTTCACTGGGTCACATGAGAAAGTTTACTTAGACACTGGAAGTTAATGCGTGCCCAATGAAATACCTTGTACCACAATAATTTTAATTGGTTAATTACAAGCAGCGAAAGCATCATGCGAGGAGATGAGCTTGAAACCTTGTGTAGTCTTCACTAGCCAAATTCCTTCCCTGCCCTCTTCGGTATCTGGGCAACTTGGAGCTGGAAGATCACATGGCACTGACACATCAGCGCAAGGTTACGTCAACTTGACATGCTCAAGCCAGGTCATGCACGCAAGCGTCGTTGCGTCGTTGCTACGTTCTCTGTATTGTATACTGTCTGTTTTGGAGGGATGGATTCTTCTATGCGCGAATGTTTGGAGAGCCCTGCATGGACTATGTATCCTTACCACGATACACAGCGATGCATTACTGGAACTGCTCTAGAGGACGGTGCACAAAAAAACAAAATAAAAAAGAACACACCAAGCATTTTTAGGGCTGGCATCGGAACGATGCGAGAACGGCAAGAACACCAATGCTAACGAAACGGAGGCAGCTTATTGTCTCGCATCTGACACGATATGAAGCAGAAATAAATGAATAAATAAATAAATAAATAAATAACGTTCACAGATTCCGTTTGTATGTTTTGTTATTTCTATCAACTTACATTCTTCTAATATAACAGATTGCATAAATTGCACGTCGCCTCGAATGATTATCGCAGAGTCATGTACTTTGATGTATGCAGGACTATTCCTTAGTGTATACGTGACCTCCACCATGTTAAGGGGGAGGGGGAAGGGGGGTGCTTGTGAGGCGAAGGTCAAGCGGCATTCAGTCTGACATTTCACTTTTTTCGAGGCGCGTAGCATTGCAAATCTTGGCCGATGAAATCTTAAGTGCCCAGTGCATGCATTCCTCTTGTCTGCTTGAAATGCTCAAACCTGGTGAGGGGCGCTTCAAGTGTTCGCAGACAGAGGAGAAATGGACCGTGTGGAATTAGACGCGGTTAATAAGTCTAAAAGACTCGTTTAGCGGTCTGGCTATTTGCTCATGTGCTGCCCTTTTCAGCCATGCTAAGAGACACATGAGCGTGTTTATTCGACGGTGGATACTTAATTCACTATGCTGGACAATCAAAGAAGAGACTGTCTTCTGCAAACCGTGCAGAAAAGATTGCGTGGCTGTGCTAAACCACTGGCGCCTTTGTACCATCATAAAATAAAACTTCTTTTTTTTCGCTTTCTGATCGTATGTACGCATTTCTTGAAAACTTTGAAATTTCGTAAAAAATTATTGTGCCTATATTTAAGATTTTGAGGCCCTAAGAGTGTGTTTGCCTATATTTGGCGCATAAAACTTGGTTTTCAGTGCCTCTAAGTCCGGCCTCTATCATCATTAGAATATGGTCGGATTGTTGTAGGCCCCAAAAGAGTTAACATGCATCTTTAAAGAAGCTCATGTACGGGGCAAGCCAAGACTCAATAGTCCAATGACTTTTTTTTTTTTCTTTTGTGGGGACTACTATATGTGATCCTAAGTATGCAAACAAAAATGGTCCTACCTCGGTGTATCGAGGAAAATATGCCTTGTTTCTTCTTTTTTTTTTGGGGGGGGGGGGGGGGGGGGGGGGTTGGATCGATGATGAATATCTCGGATTAACTAGACATTCTGTAAATTCGGAAGCCCTGCAAATTATCCATATAAACAACTGAATGGCCTCAAGCGTGGGATTGAAAATTGAATCCACAAGTTGTTGTTAGTCGCTTGAGTGTGACTTTATTAGCGGCAAAATATTTCCGCATTGACGTAGACTTCGTTTGTGAAGATGACAGGTTCTGCAGATTGTCGTAGCGTTTTTATAAAAATCTGTTTTGACAGCGCAGCTGTTTAGGCTCGAGGTTCGCTACGAGGTATTAACAAAAACTGTCATCCTCACATTGAATGGCATCTCTCATCGCCTATCACCGGGCACAGCTCCGCTGGTGGGCGTCCTCTTCATCCTCTTCATCTTCTGCTTCGCTCCCCGTACACGTGCACCCGGAGCGCGCTGTCCCGCTATCTTTTTTTTTCGGTGTGGGATGCAATAACTCTGATGGGTTAGGGAACGAGCGCAGAGAGAGGAAACTAAAAAAGACTGAAATACAGAGATAGAAGCAGATGCAAAAAGAGACTTAAAACGGGGAACAAGGCAGAAAGTGAAAGAAAAAGAAATAAATTGAAGAAAGGTGGAAATAGAAAGGACGCAATAAAAAGGGAAAAAAATCTTGAGAATAGAGCGAAAGCAAGGAAGAAAGAAAGAGAAAAAAAAGAGAAACAAATCATGCTTTTAGGCCATCAACAAGGAAGGCTGCTAGGCTGCCTCAACCCTTTGTATGGCAGTCTCTAGACGAAACATAAGTAGTTGGTTCAGGCTAGACTATCGCCTTAAAGTCGATTTGAAATGTTGGCAGTACTTTAGTATTTCATGAAAACATCTGTGTGCCAATTTCTATGAACTAATAGCGGTAAGTGCATGCAGAACAATGGCGTTCTTATGTCACTTCTCGAAGTGTATGCCTATATATATTCAATAAGTTTACTGTGAATTGGTAAGAATTTTAAAATTATTTGGCTTTACCCGAGAAAAGGAAGGCTTGATCTTATTGTTGTGAGAGTTTTGTCGTTTTATGAGCGGTGAAAAATTTGCAAGTTGAATCGCCACTACGGTGTCCGCATTTGTCGACGCGAGGAACAGAGTTCGTTCGAGAAGCTGATATGTAGCGACTCATGGTAGCAGGACCCACTTCGATTCCGTGTGGCTCTGCACAAAACATTATCTGCGCTATAGCTAAATACACTTTTTAGAAGTCATGTTTAGAATTTTTGCTAGTGCCAGTGAATGTTTTCATTTGGAAAGCACGGATATTTCGTGCATTGATACTGAGCCATGAGCAAGCAAAGAACGCTTGAACAATTCTGTTGCTGCTGATGAAAGCGTTCAGTTCAACGCGGCAACGGACGCGTTGATAATGGTAGGAAGTGAGGATAACGATTATGATGAACACGTTGAAGTAGAGCCAACGTGTAGTGTGGGGGAAAAACAAATTGGCCTTAAACAGTGACAATGAAAGCGTTGGAACATGAGAATTGATGTGTTGATGATGTTGATAATGAATGATGATGGCAATAATGGACTATGATGATGAAAATGTTGAATCAGTGCCGTTAACAAGTGGCTGCGTGAACGCTTAATGGTGGTTAAGAACGTGTTGGAATGAGGATGAATGCGTTGATTATGGTAAGTAGTGGTGATGATAAGGATTGATGCGTTGAAAGAGAGCTGTCAGCTGGCAAAGTACCTATCTACGATGAAGAGGGAGGATGAACCAGGTGTAACACGACATAACCGGACACTTTTTTTTTTTTTTTCAAACACAACCAAAGCTAAATAAGCATTCTAGGTTTTCGGTTTAGTCCTATTGTCGTATGTATTGTTATTTCATATACGCATAAAAATAAAATAGAAAAATTGCACAACTTTCATGGCCATGGGATACAAAGGGTTAGTTTTTTTCATGAATAAATGATTAAAACACGCTGTAAATTTTTTTAAGACCCCAAAGTTTTCGTGCGGCGTGTTTTCGAGCTTCCAGCTTTGCAAGCATACCAGTTTAGGTGCCTCTATAGTGTGCTCACAGTTTTTATGAGGGAGTGGATCGTGAGAAAGGATATTGCGTGGCCGATTCCTCATGTATAGCATACCACTTTGGTAACAGCAGCAGGCGGACCTGGACGCCGGGTGCGGCATCGTGCGCTATAATGGACGGCCTGCTATGACGCTTTCATTTACCAGCATATGCCGTGCGCTAGCATAAAAAGAAAATCAAGTGCAGCGCATGCTGTGCATTCAACACGCCGCGATGACAAAACTCCCCGGGTCGAATCAATTTCGTCAACACCACGAGCAGCACTACGCAAATATCTTGTGCGGGAATATAATTACTTCCCAAAACCATGATATGATCATGAGGGACGTTAGAGTGAAGGGCTCCGGAAATTTTGACCGTCTAGTGTTCATTAACCGTGTACTGGCATCGCACAGTATACATGGGCTTCTCGCATTTTGCCTCCTTCGAAATGCGACTGCCGTGGCCTGGATCGTATGCTTGCCCCACCGCAGTGGTCTAGTGGCTAAGGTACTCGGCTGCTGACCCGCAGGTCGCGGGATCGAATCCCGGCTGCGGCGGTTGCGTTCCCGGTAGAGGCGGAAGTGCTGTAGGCCCGTGTGCTCAGATTTGGGTGCAGGTTAAAGAACCCCAGGTGGTCGAAATTTCCGGATCCCTCCACTGCGGCGTCTCTCGTAATCATATTGTGGTTTTGGGACGTTAAACCCCACATATATATCTATGAATCGTATGCTTGGACATGTTTGCTACTGCAGGCAAAATTGTGGGAGCTTGCTAGAAAAGATAAACATACAAACGAGCAAACAAACAGTAATGCAATGTATGGTCGAAAACGTACTCGAAAGCAGTTGGTGGTGCTATACATAACCAAATGAACCGAAGAGACATTTATGCCAGGAAAAGCATAAAGGATGTTAGTTGTTGTCTTTAACTGTCTTTACATAAGTGTGATGTAAATTGAAGTGAATGGAAAATCACCCCGTCGGTTGGATTCCACCGACGTCCATTTCGATTTTTCAATTTACGTCGCTGTATGAACGCAACAGCTATGACTACAATTAGCGTGATCTATATTTTCTCTGGCTTAATTGTCTGTTCGACTCATTTGGTTGTGCTGTCTAAACGAGCGCTTCGGAAAAATTTCCCTTTGTCTATTCATAGGGTTTGGTTCCCCGAATCGTTTTAGTCTCATTTAGTTCCCTTTCTTTCATCTTTTTTGGAGTGGGAATTACAACGTTTTCTCGTATTGTCATTGCAGGTGTGGTGACGGAGTATGTGCAGAAAATATTGTACAGCGTTCCGCAAGAAGATAAGGTGGGAGCGGATTAGCAGCGTGCATCGAGAAGGGTTTTCTCTCAGAGCGGCGACGCTTTGGTCCTCCTAAGCGTGGCGTTATTTTTTAGATGCTTTTTTTTCATTTGAACTTTGTGCTTGCGAGGTGCATCGGTGTCCATGCTAGCCTCGTTTACAGAAGAATGCATTTAAGTGTTTTCGTGATTGATTCGAATGCGAGAGCGCGTTTCCTGTGGGTAAAAATCCATTTTGGAATAGCAGAATGAGAGCGTGTTACATTTGTGTGTGTGTGTGTGTGTGTGTATGTGTGTGTGTGCACACGCGCGCGTGTGTGTCTTTGCGTGGCGTTAGGAATCGTTTTTTCGAAACACTTATTTTATTTGTTGCAAGGCATTCTACACTTTTGTGCTTTATTTTGTAGTTGACATCTTTGTTTATGCACGGCACAATTAGTCGTTTCTTATTGACAATTGAGAAAGCTGCTGCTCTCTATATTACTATATATTGAGGTGGCGCATGTGAAGAACCGCTTTTGCGCCATATTCTTGTGGTACTTAAGGTTTTTTTTTTTTAGCTACTCGAAACCAATGCGCAGTTACCCAAATGATACATTTGCAAGGTTTAAGGTAAAGTTTTACGTGATGGTTGTTACTTTTGTTCGAAGTGGAGTGTTCATACCATATGGTGTTGTATATGTGAGCATGCGTCATGGCGTATCATGAAAGGAGTCGAAAAGGGCGACGTTGCGTACAATATTCCAGTGTATTCACACACCCCCCTCCCGTCATTTTCTTTCGCGCTCTAGTGCTATGGGGCGCTTCCAATCCGGCGAACATCCATTGTGCGTATGTCAGTGTGCGATCGTGAGCATTTAATAGGAGGGAAGCGTCGTGAGTGTTTCGCCTCGTCTCGCCCACAGTTGATCGGCGCGCGAGAACAAGTAGCGCCGCAGTTATTTCGTAGATGACTGAGGCGCCGCGCGCGTCCAGTTGGTCGAGGCGAGCGAACGCTCAACTGCGGCTGAAACCACAGCCTGCGCGTGCGTCGACTGATCCTGGCATTGTAGCTAAACGAGATAATAACTTTGAGGATTGAGAGAACGACCGTCTGTGTGGGATGAGGTGACACTATACGTGCGTGTGGTCATGAATGAGATTTAGCTTTATACAGTTATGTTCTATTCAGTCACCCCTCCTGCAACTATACGCAACTAACTACTGGGGATGTCTGGCGGTGTGCGCGTTCAATTGTTACATTAGTTTGCGGTGTGAGCATTGTTTTTTTGTTGTTTTGAAATTCGTGTTAGCCGTTCCTGCACCCCCCCCCCCCCTCCTTCGGAAGTCGCGAAGTGGGCGAAGTTTTTTTTTTTATCAAATTGCATATGTGCATTCAGCATATTTGCTCAGACTAACCTTAGGCGTTTCACAACGAACCATAGTACGCTTTAGCTAGTTTAAAACCTACGCCAAAATTATTTTTGAGAAATTTATATTCAGTCGATATTGGATTATGGAAGCATTCTAATGCAATATATATATATATATATAATGTGTGTGTGTGTGTGTGTCATTCTTGTGTGGGAGAGCACGATTGTTTATACACTTTAAGGTATACTGGGGATACTTCTTGCTTTTTATTGTGTTTCTTTTGCAAATTGCATGTCTATTATGCGTATCTACGCACTGCCCTGAAACAAACGTCGTAAACGGTATGTACTGAGCTCTGCAAATGAGCGAAATCAGTGTGTACGGTTGAGCGTAAATATTTGCCTTACTCGTTCTTTTGCATGCCCACGAGCACCTTAAGCATTAGGGAAAACTAATGCATTTGTGGACTATTCAAGCCACGGCACAGTGCTCAGTACTAATTTGTTGTGAGCGTAGATGGTGTGTACGTATAATTGTAGTTGTGATGATGTGCTCGTAATAAGTCTTTGCTAAGTTACTTGTGTCTTGGCCACCCCTCCTGAAACTATACGCAACTAACTACTGGGGATGTCGGGCAGTGTGCGCATTCAATTGTTACATTAGTTTGCGGTGTGAGCATTGTGTTTGTTTTGTTTTTTTGAAATTCATGTTAGCTGTTCCTGCACATCTCCCCCCCCCCCCCCCTTTCTTCGGAAGTCGCGAAGTGGGCGAAGTTTTTTTTTTTACCAAATCGCATACGTGCATTCAGCATATTTGCTCAGACTAACCTTAGGCGTTTCACAACGAACCATAGTACACTTTAGCTAGTTTAAAACCTACGCCAAAACTATTTTTGAGAAATTTATATTCAGTCGATATTGGATTATGGAAGCATTCTAATGCAATATATATATATAATGTGTGTGTGTGTGTGTCATTCTTGTGTGGGAGAGCACGATTGTTTATACACTTTAAGGTATACTGGGGACACTTCTTGCTTTTTAATATGTGTTTCTTTTGTAAATTCCATGTCTATTATGCGTATCTACGCACTGGCCTGAAACAAACGTCGTAAACGGTATGTACTGAGCTCTGCAAATGAGCGAAATCAGTGTGTACGGTTGAGTGTAAATATTTGTCTTACTCGTTCTTTTGCATGCCCACGAGCACCTTAAGCGTTAGATAAAACTAATGCATTTGTGGACTATTCAAGCCACGGCACAGTGCTCAGTACTAATGACATCGCTTTTGTTGTGAGCGTGGATGGTGTGTACGTATAATTGTAGTTGTGATGATGTGCTCGTAATAAGTCTTTGCTAAGTTACTTGTGTCTTGGTTTTGTATTATTCATGTGGTAAGGATCGAGGCAGCGTTAAAAATTGCGTACGAAAATAATTTTATGTACTCCGTGGTCTGCGATGCTATTGTTTTGATGGTGTCAAGAGAAGTATATGGTTCTCACTTCGAGCATTTAATTCCGGTTTATTGAGTTTGAATTAAGCGTGGGTGTTCCTGAACAGACACCAAGTTGCGTCGTTCTTATTGATTTTGCGTAACCTTCTTTATGTTATGATACAATGTCGGCTCACCATGGAGGTAAGAAAGAAAGGCACTTCAGCCCACTTTAAGCTTGTGATGACATACTTCGTCGGGATTGCGGTATCCGCGAAAAGTTTTGAGTGGCACAAGACTTCTCTTTTTCTTTTCTTTGTGTTTTCATTCATAGTGCCTATATATTTGCATATTGCTATGTTTTGTCATATTTTGTTAGTTAAAAATGGTATTGACAACATGAAAGCTTGGCATACTTCTTTGGGCTATGCTAGAAATTTCGAGACATTTATCTTGTGTGCTGCCTAATATTGACTTTCGGTGTTTTTTAAGGACACACGGAATCCAAAGGGACCACGTGAATGTGACTATGTTCTTTTTCTATACACTGTGTTACCAAAGCGAAGTGCGCTGCTTCTTGTAGGGGAAGGTTGCGTTGTTGTTGCCTTTTTTTTTTATCTCACGTGTTGGTGACTTTGATGAAGCAGGTGGTGAATATTTAGTAAGAATGTTTCAGAAATGCCACATGGATTCTGCAGCTCTGGTCGCCCTTGTGCCGTTTCGAGTACGTGTCTGCAGGATTCTGAGGGAACCTCTGACCCTCGGCTTGCTCGGGTAGCGCTCAGTCTTCCTGATGTGAAATTTGATTGCCGCAACCTATATAACGTACGAGGCGTAGCGGTACTTAGCGCTGGCGGGCAGCACTTGCTCGAAAGCTTCTCCAGCAGTGGTACGCTAGAGCGAAACACGAAAGACGCCCACTATTGCATGTGGGCAACGCCTGGAAGTAACATTTTCGGGATGTGTCGCATGAGCCTTTCAACTGGCCGAAGGCTTGAGAGTATCGTCCAAGTGCCTAAGCTGTTTGCCTATATGGTACTTTTTTTGTGTGCGCGTCACACTAAACTTTCTTTCTTTTTCTTTTTTTTTTCATTTTTCACCGCTGTCTGCGGATTTCTTGTGCAAACGCTCTCTCTCGTGCGCGCGCGTGTGTGTGTGCGTGTGTGTGCGTGTGTGTGTGTGCGTGTGTGTGTGTTTTAACGTTTGGCTTTTGTCACTTATGATGCTCGTGAATGTTTCTCACAGAACAGAGCACGCTATTTTTTGATAGCACGCCTTTGTGCTGTCGTTTTTCACGATGCTTTTCAAGCTTTCTGTGTGAGAAAGTGTCTTGCGTGACTGACCGACTACCGTCATTGTACACTGCTGGGTTCTGAACGGTTGGCTTATGTACCGCCAAGAAATGTTGAAATGGACGTACGCGTGAGTTTGGTGTTTGCGCAGTTGTAAAGACATTGCTGCCAAAGGTGCCTTACTGAGTGCGGGGTGATCAGTGTGTGATGACGGGCAATTTCATTTGCAAACGCGAGTCATACTAGGTAATGCCATGAAATAAATATTTGTTTTTTCAACCTACAAATGTTGGAGTTGTCATTTCACCAGTGGAGTTGTCATATCTTGTGATGTGTAACTATACGTTTTCTTACGCTTGCTGGCTAAGTTTGATTGAGAAATATGAGGTTTAACTTTCTAGCGAAAGTGGTAAGGTCTTAGATGTTCTGAATGTGATGGTGTTTGGCATCGATTGGCGGTGACGCTGCGTTTTTCCTCGTCCTGCGAGGTGAAGGGTGGAGGAAGGGCGGTGGGAAACGGTTGGCGAGGGGAGGCCGCGGCATTGGGGTCTTTTGTTGTTTCTCCTGCAAGTCGGTACAACCCTCACCTCGCTGCTATCTATCCCTCTCCTTCGCTTCCTCTTCTGTCTCCTGCCGCCGAATTTTTCTCTTTTACGTGTGCTTCCCATTTTTTTTTTTTTTTTTTTTTTGCATGCCGGGTCTCGCTCGCTTCCTTTCTCGCCCTTCATTCTCTTCGTGCGTTAGCGCAACCGCTTCTCCCTTGCACTTCGTCTCTTTCTTCCTAGACTTTTTTTTCCTGCATCCCGCTTTCCTCTCTCAACCGCCTTTCCTTCCCCCTCTGTTTTTGCTCGCCCCTCCCTTCTTCACATCGCAGTTCTTGCTTTTTTTTTTGTTCTCTCTATACGGCGAGGTGGGTTTGTGCTCTCGCCTTCTCCCGCGGTGGTGTCGGCCTCTCTTGATTTTGTTTTTTCTCCTCCGCCTCCTTCCTCCTCGATGTCTTTCTGCTTCCCCGTTCGCTTGGCGTCCTTTCTCGCGGGGCTCTCTTTATGTTCGCTTTTTCTATCCGCGGCCTTTCGCGAGGGGCTCCCCTTTGGCGCGTACTGCGGCAGTGCGTCGTTGGTTTGCAGCAGCGGGATCCGCTTTTCTGACCCCTCTCCCTCCTTTGTCTCTTTCGGAAGGGTGGTGAGGGGGGAATCTAAAAGAAGAGACGAGGGGGGATGAGTGGTAGGGAGGGCATGGCCAGGTTGCCTGGGAAAGGGGGTTCTCAGCCCGGCTGGTGGGCAGGCGGGCAGAGACGAGGGAGGAAAAGTGCTGCTGCTGCCTGCTCGCGCGGGGGGAGGTTGCGGTGCTGCTTTGCTGGACGACGGCGTTTTCAAGCTGGAGTCTGCCGACGAAGCGACTGACTCGCCGCTCGCCGAGCGGCGCGTTCTCAAGCGCAGTGACAAGGGCGGCTACATGTACTACCACATCGAGAAGTAAGTACCGCACGTGGCATTGAGCGAAGCGTTGGCACTTAGCGTGCCTTGGCTGCGATAACGGGCTGCGGCTAAGCGTGCGCGTGCGCGCGCGTCATGGCTGCTTTCGAGTGGCTTCAGTTCAGCCGCGCAGAGTTTCTTCTCGCGGCGCTAGAGGGCGCAAGGCGTTGCTAGCTTTTGTAAGGGCCTTGTATGTTTGCGCTGTATGCGTCGCGTGCCTTTATTGCTGGCTTCTGTAACAGCCGGCCAAGTTCTTTGTTTTCCACTGTTTATTTAAAGTGAAACTTACTAGCAACGAGCTTATTTTTATACCTGCCTATGGTATCTAATCAGGAAGTTTCGCTCGTTTCTTAGTACGAGCATTCTTCTGGATAAGCTCAGCTTCTCCAGAAAAGAGCGTGCATATATACTGCTCGTATGCAGACAGGATTGTTGCATGGATACTGGTTCTGGTATTTCGAGTGTGGCTAAGTGATCTTCCGTGTCTCGCAAGATCTAGAAATCTTAGTAGCTACTAAGTGGCTCAAACTTGCTTTTTCATTTATTTACTCTCGATCCGAAGATGATTACAGAGGGAAGTAGGGGAACATACTAACGAAATTTAACTAGTAGAAATAACCATTAACAAATTCCCAGCTGGCTAGTCACACACTGGTTAGTAAAAACATCATGAAATTTCCAATACGCTAGTACTCATACAATGGTGGCTAGTGCCCCGCAAAAACGATCATTTTTGCCGGTTGATGCTATATCTCGGAGGAAAAATGGTGTGCGTGGTAGAAAATATTCGAAAATTGTTTTACATTTATGAAATGTGATGCCTACATTATGGCGCATGATCAGTGCGATGGGACATATATTGTGGAGATAAAAAAATAAATGTGTCGTGAGGACTGCTAGCATATTTTACGAAATAAGTTCAAACGGCATCAATTTCGACGCGCTGTTAGACTGGAGGGCGAGGCTGGCTTTCATGACTGTTATGCTAGCAGTGCCACTGTAGAGCTGAGTTATTCTGAAGAAGCTCCAGGACGACGTTTGTAGCGCGGTGCTACAAGTGTCGCTCTTTAGCATGCGAAAACGAGATGGTTAACGTAAATTGTTTACGAAGGCCTCGATAACGTTAAGCAAGATATGACTCCTTGCATCTGGCGTAGCATGATGGAAGCTTCCTCGAGAGCGTAAAGAGCAAACCTCATAAGCGCGAAAATGCACGCAACAGCGACGAGCGACGCTATGAGCGACGAAACAGGGCGTTCGCGCGACGTGTCGCGTGCTCGTTTTCGCGCGATCGCTCGGTTCTCCAGATTTGGAAACCGTCGCTCATCGCCCGGAAGTGCTGGGCTCAAGTAGCCAATAGCGAAAAACCGGAAAAGACAACGACTACATAGGTGCACGTGACCCTGCCCGAGTCACGTATGCGCAACAAGAAATAACGCAGTGTTTACGCATGTGCATATATTAAAAAAAACTGCTGCAAGGCATTCATACACACTTTTCGTTCCATTACGCAACAATATATCTTATTTTTAAATTGCATACCGCTCACTACGCGGTTTTCTTGGTGCGAGTAGACCTCCTCATGCCAGCAACAGTGGAGTTCGCTCGCCGAAGCCGTCGCGTGGTCGAGGTTTGCCTGCGCCAGCGACTGATCGCGCGAAGACGATCTACGTTGCATCGCTCGTCGCTGTCGCGTGCATTTTCGCGCTTTGGGCTTAATTCAGGAGGGTAGCGCGAAGAAATTACACGGACGGCGACAGATCAAGACGGGACATAGCGCTGTGTCACGTCTTGATCGGACGACGTCCGTGTGATTATTTGTGCTACGGTCCTGAATTATGAGCTAGCAACTAGCCCACAAGTCTGTCATTTTGATTACTCGAGAACATTCACTTGGCGTACAACAGATGGGTGCCTACCTACAGGGTGTCTGGATATTACGAACCGATTATTACCGCCAGTTACTTATCGCGACATATACTTATCGTTTTATGGTAGATAGGGCTCACAAGTGAGTGGGGACGCTGCTGTGCCTCTCCACCAAAACAAAATATACATACGTACTTTACTCCCGTACACATGCAAACTGCCCCTCTCCTTTCTGGAGCCGAGTTGAACACCCCTTGAGCAGGTGGACACTCAGTGTTGATAGCGAGCGACTTTGCGAAACTAGATAAAGTTATCAGTCCACACACTGCTTGCATGGCGCACCAGAAAATGCTGAAATACTGTGCTGAAATACTATTCTTGAACAAAGGGTGTCGCTGGAGCTAACGTTTCGACAGTTGATCATACCATCGAGGTAGCAGGCGTTAGCGCTCTTTTGTGTCTGTTTCCTGCACTTTCCCTCGGCCTCAAAGTTGTGGAAAAGGGGAAGAGTGGAAGGAGTAAATACAAGAAATATGAAACAAAGATGGTCAAGGTGTTCTTTTTTTAAATATTGCGCCAAAGTCTCTGCACGTAAACGTCAGCTCGACGACGCGGATATTAGTGTTTGGAGGCTGCATTGGCTCAACAGAATTTCTTGAAATTTGGTACGCCATGCGTTTGGCCCTCTCATAAAATGACCCACTTTATTTATAGCGATTAGCACATTTGTAGGCCCCAGTACACCATGTTCACAGCAAGTTGTTGCGGGAGCTTCAAGGTGGCGTCGTTGCGTTTTATCACAGCGCATTGTCTTCTTTATTAGGCATTTTGTCATGGATATGGTTCGGTCCTTGGTATTGTTTACTAATTCGAGAGAAATCGTTGTTTCCTTAAGTCATTTCTTTTAAAGGGACTCTGAAACGGGTTTCGAAGTTTTGTCAGCGTTTAGGCTGAAGCAATATCAAACCATTTGCAATTCAAATTTAGTGACAGCCGTGTACCAGGGCTGCTATGGATAATTGTATCATACCCTCCTCCTCACCTCGGCCTGGCGTCAACTCATGTGGCATCGCTGGCGATCGCAGAGCTCTCATAAGCGCGCTTGATGTTTGGAGCTTTTACCAGCTTTAGACCTCCAAGATCGCCCGTCGATATTTGGCCGCAGCCTCAGAGACTATCACAGAGTGCGCCCGGCTGCAGTGGCTATTACAGCCACTAGCCTGGCAGCACGCACGCCGTCTGGCAACAGAGACGAAGATCGCGGTGTCGTTCAGATCTCCGAGAGGTGGCACCATCCTACCAGCCGATTTAGAGTTAATGTATATGTGACCTTTAGGTATAGCATATACAGTAAGTCTAAGCCGATCTTACTTTCACGCATTCTATAGCCCATGACAGCCAATCAGATCACCATCCACGGTGACGTGGCTGCTGACGTGCTCTGGTTTCATCACGCGGCCAGAGCATGTCGCTCTGTGAATGGTCGGTTGAAAACGCGTTTGGCCGAGTCGCAACGATCCGCGCCAATCTGCTGCGATTCGCAGCTTTTAAGCGTTGCAGCGTTGTAATTTACACAGTTTACGCAGAGAGCTCAAATTGGTCTCTAAATAACCCTTGTAACTTGTTCTACCGGTCCAATGTGTTTGTGCAGAATTGCCAAAAACCATTTCAGGTTTTGAGTGAGAGCATTCGGAAGAAAAGCACTCTATGCGCTCAATTTTATAAAGGGACACTGATACGAAAGTATTTCACTTTCCGTTTTTTTTTTTTGCGTCAAATGATAGACCAAGCCCCCGAGAGCGTAGGAAATGTATCGGTAAGTGTTAGTGCGTTCTGAAAAATTAATTACAGCATGCTTTTAAAATCTGGTTTCCGTTTCTACTGTACCCTGACGTCACAACATGGTGTGTGCAGCGCTACCATGCGGTATTATGTGCACGTACACTATTCCAGACTATTCCAGCAGACGATCTATTCCTCACTATTCCACACTATTCTACACTATTCCAGCAGACGATCGAGACGGCGACGCGCAAGCTGTCATTTTGTGTGTTTTTGGTGCTTGACGTCCTCACAACTAGCCACACTGCTGCGTGAATTCACCCGGATTAGTACTTTAGCCTGACATCAAGTTAGTTTCGATGTCGCTACGTGCGCCGCGATAAAACTTTCTTTAGTATTAAAATAAGATATCAGCATTTTTCTGAGCGTAACACTTCCCCAGAGCCGTCTCGGTATACAAGAGATTTGTATGACAGGGTAAACTGTCCTCCGAAAAAAAGATATCAGTATCCCTTCAAGCTGTTCGAGCAGCAAGCTCCTTATAAAGCATCGTAGGGAAACTGTGAAAGCCACACTAATAATTTATCGTGGCTGACGCTAAAATTGTGGGTGAAGGAGATTGGTTATGTTGATATTTTTTTATAAAGTAAATTAAAAAAAGAAGATGCGTGGCGTTCGTAGAGTCTGTGTGTTCTCAACAAAAACATGTTTGATCCCTCCTTCGTGGGAACCGGTTAAACACGAAATTAAAACGTGTCCATACAGAAGTAGCTTAGTGTTTACTGTACGTTGATATATGAGCTCTTGATATATGGTACCATCCAACCATCTTTTAATGTCCATCGTAGTCACTGATAGCCTGTTCAAGCGACCTTCTAGTGTGAGAAGCCTTCGCTTATTAGTTAAATTTACATTTGAGGGCACTCAAGGCGCCTTGTGTTAGGCGGCAATCACGTGGTATTTTTTTAATTTCGCGCACTTTAAACAAACCTTGGGAAAAAATCAACCAACGTTGTTATCTTACCGTAACTTGAAAGTTTTGTTATTTCTGGATAACAGCTACAAGTCTTGTATTGAATTTTTTGAGAGTCAGTATTTAAAAAAAGTTCATTGAGCAATCTTTGTTAATTACCGTGCCTCGCGGATAAAAATATTCTGACGTTCTACATACAGCTAAGAACAATACATCGCTAGCTGGAGACGCGTAGCACTCATTTATAATTTTTTATTGCTTGGTGCTTTTTAGCTGGAACACTCTGTATAAAAAAAAAACGCCGAATGAGAGGGACGGTTAGAAACGACGCGTTGAAGGAACTAATCGCAGATTCCACGATCATGGTGCATTACTGCACTCTACCAAAAACGCTGAGAGGGCTGTGGTAAATATAAAAGACGTATTTTCAAAGGATTGAAACAATGTGGTTTTGAAGCAGTGGATAATGTGCCCGGCAGGCATTGCCGCGGACCCAGAGGTCACGCGTATTTTTTGACATCACTTCCGTGACGGAAATGCGTCATTGACGACGTCTTGGTGGGCCCCGGCATAAAACACTTTCGTGTTAACAAACGAGCAACTGAATAAAAGTATGAGTAGAACTTCACTGCCTGAACTAGACTTCATCGTCACAATAGGGAAATTTCCATGAATGCTAAACAATTATGGAGCGAAATCGATGAACAGGTTGCCATAAATTAAATACAATGTTTAGTTCACAAAATTGTTCGTAGGATGGCTTCAAAGCTTTCTTTACTGTATTTATGAGCGTTAATTAGTAGTTGGCGGAAATATTCGAGGATATGTCATGTATATGAGGGTTGCTGTCAGTAAAAAAAAAAAAAGGTGTTCCTAAAGGATACTCTAATTTAGTTTGCACTGATAATGTATTAATTCGAAACGCGTTGCCTTTAATTTTGCGATAATACGTTCTTTAATAAGATGAGAAGAGAAAATAAAGTTAATGATTCGTTTTTTTTTTGCCTCTCTATCGAAGCGGTGCATATCACTATGATTTCGATATTGTTAATGTAAGATTTTTTTTTTCGTAGGCAGTGGGGAAGTTTGTGTTCTGCTATTAGGCTTGTTAGTTGACGTTTGTTTTCACGTAGAAGGAGTGGACTAAGTCAGACTGGATCGAGCCTGTCCATTTATCGCTTAGTTGTCCACCTGTGTCTCCGTCAGAGAGCGGGACCCCTCTACTGGCTTGGGGCAATATTTTTAATCATCTAAGGGGGCGGAAAGTCGGTCCCTTACTTTCACTTAGCCCGACTTGAGCTGCGGCTCTTCTATGCAAGTTTGAGGATCCATGTGTCTGTGTTGATGTATTCCACGAAACGCCTGCGGCAAATTTTTAACCCCGGAAAGCCGGGAACCTGCATGGCAGGCCTTTGCCAAAAACACGTCATCGCTTCGCTTTTTTTTTTTTTGCATCCATTGCGAAGCTGTGTTTTCTTTTGGACTCGCCCAATGGGATGAAGTGGGGGCGCGCTGTTTGTGAAACTTTAGCCTTTCTAATTGAAAACTCTGCACACGCGCCTATGTACATAAAAAAAGATGATGAAGCTCGTTCGGGCGTATCATCTGCAAGGGTGTCACCGCGGCTCGAGGTCATGCCGACTGTCTCAAGCTCAGTGCAGTGCGCGGCGGCCGATATGCGTTTGCGTTTACCTAAACTGCGCATTATTCACCATTCTGTCGAATTGTGAAATTGTGCGCGAACTGTTATTGTTTGCGGCTCAAATTTATGGAGGTCGATAAGCCGCAACAGATTGTAGCGCAATTATGTTTAAATTAGTCGCTGCATTTCAAATTTTGTTGCCAAGTGAAGGCAAATGTCGCTAAGTTAAATGATGTACGAAATTGCTAAATTGGGAACGTTCATACCTTTAGAAACATTGGCTTCGATGTCGGTTGCTTGAACGATTGGTACGACGCCAATAATTATGCTGAACTGTTCGCGTCTTACAGGTTGATTGATTTGTGGGGTTTAACGTCCCAAAACCACCATATGATTATGAGAGACGCCGTAGTGGAGGGCTCCGGAAATTTCGACCACCTGGGGTTCTTTAGCGTGCACCCAAATCTGAGTACACGGGCCTACAACATTTCCGCCTCCATCGGAAATGCAGCCGCCACAGCCGGGCGCCTTACAGGTTACGACAATACCTATCGGTTTCTGCTAAAACACCAGTCGGTGTGTGGAATTTTTCAGGGCGCATTATTTGACTCGGCTTATTCGTTGTTGTGGTAATGCAGCTTGTCGCGTTGAAATATAAACGCTATTCATAAGTTGTCAAAAAAAAAAAAACACAAACACGTCATGCTTGTCAGAAAGTGGACATCTGGTGCCGATGGCACGGCCTTCTCGGCGTGAATGAAACTTATGCTTTCCTGCACGAAGCATTGACAACCTCGCTGTTCGGATTAGTGCTGCCACGGCGTGGATCAACGGAGAAATTTCAGTCAGTCGCTTCCGTGCGGCGCTTGATTCAAGAGAACTGCAATGATTGAGGCTGGCATCGTGCGATAAACTAACGTGAATATAATAGGTTACATGACACCTTGCGGAATAGTTGGTAAAGCGTGATACATGAGCAGGCCCTTTAATATCCGGTATAGTTAGTGTATAGTTACGATACGTGAATGGTATATTTAGGTGTGACTCCGAAAGGCTGTAGATGCGTTCATAACCAGCACCATTCTACTCGTCGTACATCGCTTCTTGCTGTTTCACTCTTTCATTCCTTTTTTTGTTTTCTTTCTATCCTTCCTGTGCTTAGATTATGTGAGGTATGTAGTTAGTGATGAGGCTTAATTATAAACGCTGCATTGACGACTCATCCATAACGGCCCTGGCGCTACTTAAAGTAGTGTTCGTTCATATTTTTTTTTCTAAATCTACGTTTTCCGCATAGCGGTAGCATAGTGTTATGCCAAGTGGGGCCGTACACGTCGTATCTAAACAGTGAGTTGGAGAAGTGAATGCAAACAAGTCATTTCCTTTGCCAACCGGTTGTCACGCGCTATACTCGTTGCTTTCGTCAAATTGAAGCTTCTTGTATTGGCACTCTAGCTCCATCTTTTCATATTGGGAGCCTGAAATGATCTTACTTTATTCTTTCTGTCCTTTCCTTCTTGCCTTTTACATATCGGGAAAACCCAGCTCGGCGCTCAGGTGAGTAATCACCCTTTGAGTCTTTTATTGCTCTGTCTCTCTTATACTCAATGGCTAAATATCATTGGTAGTAGAGCCAATGTTAAGAGTGAACGCGTATTCGTGACATGTTCGATTGTGTTCTCAACATGAAGGTATACCACGGTGAAGCGCAAAAATGGTTGCATTATTGCCATCTGCGTCAAGCGAGGGCACGGCAGGGTTTCGAGTATTGCGATCGATACGATGGGATGGGGGCTTTTCACTTTTGTTCCCGCGTGCGGGGTCGTTGCTTGCTTCTTCCCGAGTTTAGGAATAGCGGGTATAACGCGCCAGGAAAAAAAAAAGCGGGGGGGCGGGGGCGAATGAGAACTTTTCGCAAGAGATTTGATGTTCGGGGCATTTTTACCCGGCTCTAAAATAGCACGCGTCGGCTGAATGCTTGTGGGGAACACGCATGACATCAGAAATACGGCTGTTGATTTTCGCTACATTCGGTATCTCTCTTTCTCCTTAGCTGCTGGCCGCCGGAGATACGTACAAAGTGTTCCCGGACTCCTTATTTCTCGTTTTCATAAAAAAGAGCGCGAATGCAAAAAAAAAAAAAAACAGGGCAGGCCAACATTTGGACGCATCGTTTGAAACGTCGATGACAGCTGCTCCTCTATGCAAGATTCAAACGTGAACTGGTATTGTGGATTACATGAACTACAAATAGAACCTGCAAAGGTCAGAACTGTCTATTTATGTCCCAAGTTAATCGTCAAGACAACGTTTTATTCATTTTTTATTGCGTTAACTGTAAATAGTTTCTTGTAAGGTCAGTAGCAGGAATAAATGGCGTTAATGTGTTCGCTAGCAAACGATTTTTTTTTGTTTCTCTGGGTGCAATAAATTACATTCGGAAAGGCGCAGCTGCTTTTCTGGGTGCAATAAATTACATTCGGAAAGGCGCAGCTGCTTTTAGGTGCGAAGCATCTCTTTGACTAGCCTGTGGAACGATGTCGCGTTCGCCAACACCCCCTAGATTCCTAAGGCCTTTCCGATGGCTGTGTGACGTCACCCTGGGGGCCCGTGCGGGCGCTGCGTTCCGTTATTCCGGAGCGTCGCTTCTACCGGTGTTGTAATAGTCTGTGATGTGTGCGAAATACTATGCCATGTATTCGAGCTTGATTTGGGCGCACGTTAAAGAACCCCACGAGGTCTAACTTTCCAGAGCCCTCCACTGCGGCGTCTCTCATAATCATATGGCGGATTCGGGACGTTAAACCCCACATATCAATCAATCAGTCAATGTATTTGAGCTTTCTCGGGCACAAGCGAAGCATTCTGAAAGTAGTTTTATTCTTGAAAGAAAAGACCATACGACCAAGATAAACTTTATTACGTTAAGCATCACTTTTTCTTCAGTGTTGCTCATTTCCGTGCTGTGGCCTTCCTCGGCGCATTGTCCTGGGTGCTGTCATTTTTCAGCCTGCAGGCGTTGTTCAAGACAACATTCGTTGCTGTGCGAACTACCAAGCGCAAAATAGTTTGTGCGGTGTGGCCATTTTCAGATGTATAAATGGCGGTCTGTGGTTCCAGCAAAGAAAATGCCAGCGAAGTGACGATATCGCGTTGGTCACTGCATGAGAAGAAGTCTTGGGCGAATTCTCTCAATGACAGTTTCGGCACAACTATATAGCTTCGTTACCAGAAGCATGTCACAGCGCTACCGGCTAAGCACAGCACTTGGAACAGCGCTACTAGAAGAAAGCGATCGGAGTTGCACTCCGTTCAAAACAACAGAAGAACAAAAGCAACAGATCTGGGGGAAGAGTTAATTACCATTTAACGTAAAGAGAAGGATTGTTTTCGATGGCAAGAAACCTTACGCACTCATCACTGATAGTTGCTGTCCAAAAATTATTATTGCAGATCCCTGACAGCTTCGTCTTGAAGTCTGTATATAAAACCACCTTGTTTCTTTTTTTACTCAAGTCTCTAGACTCAAGTGACCTGTTTATAGCTTCTTGCAAAGCAGTGCTCTCCCTTCTTGCGATCCTCTGCTTGGCAGTGCATCTCACAAATCTTCGAGTGCAAAAAATAAAAAGGGCAGCTGTTATAAACTTGCTACACATAAAACACACTATGCGTAGGTATAACCTAAAAATAGCTGTTCCTTCATAATTATTTAACTGTGGTATAAGCACGAAGTCGTTAAAAAATAGCACAGCGATACACGTAGCGTACTTGTTTGATTGCTATAGCAACAAAATACATTTTTTTAAATGACACTAAGAATTTTGCTATTCATGGATCGGGGAAGTACTGCGTCTACAATTATCCTTATAAAAAACAAATGAAGCAAGAAAAGGAAAATACAACCACCTCCGAAGGCGTGTTTTAACATCTGCAATGAAAGAAAATTACATTTTTTACTTCTTTTGTTTACTTTCTTGCATCACATCATGAGAATGCCATTTTTATTGTTGCAATAACTTCTTACATAACACGCTTGACATCGGAGGATGGTTGCACACATCAACATTGAGGAAACAAAACACAGAGACCAAACCAGGCGTACTTTATGGCAGTAATAGCAAAATAGAAGTTATTTCAACTATACTGTGGGAAAGATATCCTAGGAAGGATATCTTAGCACTGCTCGTTTACAAACGCACCCCACGGATCAATGAACATTCACGAGAAATACATGCTTCTTCATCGTTGTGTTGAAGTATTCTCATTATGTACGAAAAGAGTATTCCCTTTCAATAATTACAAATTACAGATGTTGCAGCTAAGAACGTTGATTCACACACCCGATAAAGCAATGTAAAAATTTTTACCTTGGAATGCACTGTTGGCGTGAAATCCTTCCGTGGGATAGCTCGAAGACATGCTTGTTTCTGCGCGTCATCACTGGGGAATGAATACAGGGGAACTTTTGGCCCATTGTCATAGTTTCTGCGGCACCCAGGAACACAACACCGGCACATGTTGCACGAACTTGCAGTCGTTGCGATTCGCGCCAAACATCACATCGGGCATTAACACGTGTACGCCGAAAAAAAAAGAACGCTCACACGGACACGAAGAACACAAATTGCGCAGCAGCTTGGCGCACACGCACTGACTTACCCCTCTGCTTGCCCCGGCAAGCGTGCCGAGAACAGATGTGGAGCCAGTGTAGTCAGACGCTTTTCCAGTTTTTCAGTTGGCCCCCCTGCGTGACGTAGCACGCGGTTAGAGGAGGATGTGAAGAGGTCTGAAGAATTGTTAGAGGATGTTGCGTACGTCCGCCGTAACCCCCTCGCTGCAGGTGTTGGAGTGGTGCCAAGTAGGTAAAGTCGGAACTGTGCGTGGACGTCACTCTCTATCTCACCCGCAGCAGCTGCCGGCCCCTTCGCCCGCTCGCTACACACTTCTCTCTCGCTTCACCCTCTCCACCACTGCGCTCGACCGCACGTCGAGTTTAAACACTAGAGAGGAACACTAGATAGTCCGCAGCAGGCTGCGTCCGTGTGGCTGCTGCGGACGCGCAACTAAATCTGTCTACTCTTTCGGGTCGTCTATCTGTGATAAAACACACACGACCCAATCCGCCTTCCGCGTCATGGCGCTTCAAACAAAAGTTTACTCTAGTAAACGCTACACCGGTCTGATGTTTCGCTTCAAACTGTTCTTCGAGCACTCTCGTCGACGCCCGTTACCGGGTCAACGCCGTGCGCACCGGTTCTGCTTCGCATCCCGTCAGGGTTCCCTTCGGGAAGAGGGTCCATAATTTCTTTATGGGATGTCTATTAGATGCGGAGTACCTCTTGCAAGTATGTCACGCGTCCGGCGTGGTGGTAGTGGTTAGAAGATGAGAAAAGGCACCTAATTTCTGCAACCCGGTCGGGAGCACGGCGCAGTGCCTGGGCGTCCGGCGTCCGCACTCACACCATGCACGCATGACTCTTCTTCCCTCTCTCCAACAGCTGTGCGTTGCTCTCTACACTTCTACCACCTGTTTGCACTCCCTCCCCCATTGCGAATGCGTGTCTCCTACCCTCTCTCTCTTTTCTTACCCCTCCTCTCCTGCCTCGCAACGCCGACGCAGGCAGCGTCTGATCGCAAGTTTCTTGATTGAAAAAACTGATTGATCGCGCTGCACAGCCGTTCACTAGGCACTCCGTATGTATAGGCACTGGATCTTGACCTCCAAGGTAGTGCCGGTGGGCAATTTCTCCTGTGCGTTGCTGAACAACGAAAATTCGCAGCGTACGCGTAACTTAGGAATTACACCATCTCCCGAAGGGGACCATGGGGTGATTCAGAGCATCGTGGGAGTCTCCAACACAACGTTCACGGGATGCGTGGTAACGAACCAATTTGAGAACGTAATAACTCGCAAGGTTGATTGATTGATTGATATGTGGTGTTTAACGTCCCAAAACCACCATATGATTGTGAGAGGCGCCGTAGTGAAGGGCTCCGTAAATTTCGACCACCTATGGTTCTTTAACGTGCACCCAAATCTGAGCACACGGGCCTACATCATTTTCGCCTCCATCGAAAATGCAGCCGCCGCAGCCGGGACTCGTTCTCGCGACCTGCGGGTCAGCAGCCGAGTACATATATACCACCGTGGCGGGGCAACACGCAAGGTTAACTGGAAAGGTAACACCGCAAAGGTTGCACTGCAAAGATAACACCGAAAACCGGTATACACCGTCGTTAGAAACATATTTGAAACTCCCCGCGATGCTCCGCATCAGTCCTCTTCGGGGAGATGGTGCAAATTTTTTCTTTGTTTTTTTTTATCATTACATTTTGACAATAAACAATTGAACAATGCATCATTTTTATCCTTTATCGAATAGGTGTTAGTGCCCGTGTATATGCCATTTGCAGCAGTTAAAAGCGAGCTTGCTTACTTGGCGTGTCGCTAGACGAACAAAAGCGTGAATAGGTTATGTGTGTAAGTGCACAAGTAGGTTCGCAGGATACTGTATACGGCAGGCGTATGTCATAAAACGTCTTTTAGCTGTGGTCACTTCTCTGCAGGGCAGACCGATAATCATACATTAATTTAACGCGAGAGGTTGCTAACCGGAGGAACACTGTCTTAAGCTTTAATTGCACTGCAGAATGCATTGTTTATCCACACCAAACTTCGGTGACAGTATAGTTTCATTCAGACGGGAACGCTGAATCGCGTCCTGTGGAGGCTTGCAATAATAGCGGAATAGTAGTCGCCTTATTTATGAAAGGAAACACGCAAGACCGTTGCAACTATAGTCTATAGTCCCATCGCGGTGACAAGATATGAAAGGAAGAGGGCAGTATCGTTCCATTTATTGACTGCTCCTTATTTTCTCGCGTTTCCTTCTTCTTTTGTTGATAAACCGCACGTGAACGGGTAACGATGGAGGAATAAGGTGGGATGATTATATTCTTCGTTATTACCAGTGCTATACGCTCCTCACCGTTTTCGAAACTGTGACTGATACGTAGTGGGTCTAGTTCGAATTCAAATAAAGTGATTTTGCCCGTGGGCGTACGACAAGAATGATGGCGGTTTAAGAAACATTTGGCACGGAAGTGCAAGCAGATGATGTTGCGGTGTCACCAGCCCTCTGTTTCAGCATTTCGGAGCGCTGATATACGCTCGACAGGTGGCTGGCGAGCTCGCATGTTTTTTTTTTTACATGAAGATGTATAGTTCGTGTGTTGGACACTTTTGATTACCTCATGTAAAGATGACATATTACGCTTGAACAGTTGTCTCCCGCGTAAACCCGCTCGTGTACGTTACAAATATGGTGAGAGATGCTGTCATTTCTGCGCAGCGCAGAGAACATTTGCGTCTGTTTACTTTCTTCGATATGTGCGTGCTTGTGACTGAGCGGCGTTTGCGTTGTCTATTTATCTTCAACTGGTGTCTGCATGCCGAACGCTTTCTTTTGTCTGTGAAATAATCCATCAACATTCTGTCGTTCTTTGAGTGCTCTAGGTCAACGCTTTAGAGTTTCTATACTTTATAGACCCGGCTGAGGTGCTTCCTGAATGCCCTGTGAAAGGCTGTAAAAATGGTTCGTAATTGATTTCTTGCAATCAGCGTTCAACGTTGTCTTCGTCATGGAGCAATAGCAGCGCCAGTTAAATCACGTGTAAATATCCTGGGTTCTTGACCTGGTCATTTCGCAGAATTTTTGTCTTCAGTATACTGGACTTTGTACAAGAAGTCAAGAAAACAGAAAAAAAGGTACTCAGAAGGAGGGCTCATTGTGTGTATCTTGTTGCTTTAGTTCCTTTCTTTGTACTAATTCCTCTAGTAGCTTTACTATAGGCGCTTCGCTTCATTCGTGGAATCATTCTGAGGAAATATCGTGCGCGCTTGCAGGTGCATGGAGAGCTTGGAGCCGAAGACGCCCAGCTGGACGGAGAACGACCTGCTGGTGCTGATCACCGAGTACTGGAAGCGGAAGGACATTCTGCGCGCCAAGGCCTCCGAGAGCGTGACTAACCTGCAGAAGCGCGAATGCTGGATCGAGATCACCGACGTGGTCAACGCGCGCTGCTTCACGCCGCATACCAAGAAGACCATGGACCAGCTGAAGCGCAAGTGGGAGAAGACCATTATGCTAGCCAAGAAGGCTGCGCTCAACATCCAGAAGCGATCCGGTATGGAGTGTTACTGAGTGCGAAATTAAGGGTCGTTACCCTTTGCTACCAAAGGAATGTATGCATGTCGGGCTGTATACACGCAAATCGACGGTTGCGTGTTTCTGAGTGGGCGTGCTTTCCCACGCGTCCTGGCTTAGATTATTGCCCTGGAAACGTTCCTTGCCAACCGTTAGAAGAGCCGTACAGTAATTTTAGTGTTCCTATTTTCGTTTGTGTTTTTTTATCATATGGTGATTTTTTTCTCGTCAGCCATGGTGGCGTAGCGGTTTTGGTGCTCGTCTGCAGAAACGAAGGTCGTGGGTTCAGCTCCGGCCGCGGTGGTCACATTTCGGTGGAGGCGAAAGTGTATAGAGGCCCGCGTGCTGTGGAATGTTGGGGCAGCAGATATTATTGTTTTCATCTTTGTATCATCAGCTTCTATTTATATTCGCTCGTTCCTAAAGGATAAGCAGGCTTATCTGCTCTCGGTTACAGGTTACAGCCTCGCTGTCTACCGCTTCGTTTGTTCGCGTGTATAAGTCTTCATAGCTAAATAGTAATAATTTTCAGTGTCATTTCATATTTTCTGTTAAAGGCGCACTGATTTGTCGTTTCTGACGTTTTCTCTTTTTTTTTCGTGATGTAAGGGTTCTTTATCACCAAAGCCTATTTAAAATAAAACAAAATAAAAAAAGTCACAGCTTCCCGTAAAGCCGAAGCAACGAACGCGATAGCAACAAGTTGGAAGGTCACGCGCTGAATAGCGAGCAGATCGAAACGTGCTCCGCTTTTCTCACGCACAAATAACGAACGAAACGTACTCACAGGCACAGATGAACGCGAATAAGCGTATCAGTTGTTATTTTGTTGTGTCGGAAAAGCGCGCCCTTTTCGCAAACGGAGACTGTGCAACGATTGCAGTGACCTTTGTGCGCCCGGTAACTATAACAGAAACGTTCCAGTGAAAGCCCGACGCCAGCGAAAACGTACGATCGTCCCCCTCCCCCCACCGCGAAATAAAGGTGCGCGAGCGTGCCTCCAACTTCTCCGCTCCGAGGGGCTGAGTACGCGTGGGAGAGTAGAACGCGCGGCCCCGCGCGCTTATTGCGCCATCTTGCTGGTAATACTGAAAACGCGATAGTTCCCCCCCCCCCCCCCCCGGCCCCGAGATGCCCATCACCAGCAGTAAGTGGTAGATATAAATAGCTTGCCGTTTGAGCGTTGAAAGACGTGCTCCTCGGTGGCTGAGTAGTTAATGCCTCGCATTCATGACTCGTTCGATTCAGTGCGCCGGAGTCCTTTCAGGATGAAGTTTCATACAGTAATACCTAGAGAGGAATCTGGCGCTGCCATTGTGTACCTCCATGATAGGCTGTGGTCCAATACTCACCGTAGATGGCTAAATAGACAGCTAAATGGACGGCTGCCATCTTAAGAAGTCCCATTCCAATTCTCACGTAGTCGGCAAAGTAGACAGCTCCGAGAAGACCGCATCGTAGACAAATACGATGCAGGCTACTTTGCAGTCTAAACAAGATGGCGGCTCAGCAAATCGCTCAGATAGATCAAATGTCGCCGGAATGGTCGTCTGCACACAAGCTGACGCTTTCCCAGGTGCTCAATGTGAGTAACGTTTATTTGTTTTTGATTTCAATACGGAATAAGCCAGAAAATACAACTGTTACGTTTGCTTATTTTAGCTTTTTTTTCTCGACGCGAGGTAGCGCATTGTCGCTTAAAAGCAGTCTAAATGTGTTCCATTTCTCGGACAGCATAGGTTCGATGTCGTCTTTTAAGCAGTCCTCGTAGACTGTCTACGTGCTGTCTCAGAATTGGAACACAGCCGTAATTATAAAAAGTACAGGCTTCGGACTGGATAGGGTTAGCTAGCGAATCGTCTACATACTTTTTTCTACAGTTTCAGTTTCGTTCTTCGCGCAGTGTGGGTAGTGCGGCGTGGTGAAAAAGGCTGAAGCAGTGCCTTTGTTGTTCGAGAAGGCTGAAGACTGCTAGATCTCCTGCTTTGCTGTGACGTTGGAGCTTTACGAGTCGTATTTGACAGTTTAAACGAAGCGTAGTCCACTCACCGCTGCGCATAGATGTAGCGTCTCATAGCAGTGCAGGATACTGCATCGAGTTCACGTGTTTTCTCGAGCGCGTCTTGCCTAAACTCTATTTAAATCGACTGCAACACGATGACGAAGCTAATTAGACGCACCATCATGCTCCGCTGACTCGACTTCACTACAAACCATAGCTACAAACCATAGCTACAAACCATAGCTACGAACCATAGCTACAAACCATAGCTACAAACAATAGCAGCCCACTTGGATAGACGCACCTAGAATCGCAGAAGACGAAAAGTTAAGTGTTTCTCACTTGATACTATACTGTTATTTCCATAAATGTATAATTCGTACTTTCGAGAGAAAAACAAACTTGTTGTTTTCAAGCGTTGTAAAAAATAATTCAATAAATCTTCATGCTAAATCTGGAATGCAATGGCAGAGCAGTGCCAATGGCAGGCAAATTTAACCCTGATGGTTAAATTTGCCCAGGTTTCACTTTTGCCATCTCATCACGAAAACTTTTTGCAATAAAGTTTGCATAGAAACAAATAAAGCAGGTTTCAATAAATATAATATCACCTTGTTTTACACTCGAAAAAACAAGCGTCACGAATCTCAAGTACTTAATCCAACCGAAGCGGATGGATGCGCTTATGGATGCCGCGCTATCGCGGCAATGATTTGCGTGCAGCTTGTGCCTCCACAGCAGACAGGAGCTTCTACGGGCTGCATCTCAACATGAAAAAACGAAGGCAAAAGTGTACTTGCTTTCTTACACCAGCGTTTTGTAGTACGTGAGATAGGATCTAAATGAGTTGACTGCCAGCCTCACTTTATGTAACATTGTAATTTGTCGCTAGGGCCGCGCCGCAGAAAACTTGGTTACTTAGCAAGGGCATGTTTACTATAACTTAATATTGCTCCTAAAAATGCGAGACTTGCTTCGTAGAACATTCGAATATGTTGCTATCGCATTCGTTGCTTCGCCCTTTTAGTGAAACTGTGTGACTTTTTCTGGGTAGACTGCACTTTCATTTCGAAAGTTGAAAGTTACGTAACAATACTGTTATTGGGACTGGATAAATGAGTATTCAAGAAGAAACAAATGAAAATTGACATAAGCAAACTCTAAACAGTTATGTATTTGCGTTTTCTGGCTCAGTAAGATTGATGATTAAATAATTATATAAATAATTATTTAAATAAATAAATAAATAAAAAATAAGTTGCCCCCGAGAGTTACTCCTGCTTCATGTTGTATTTATTTCGTTTTTTTTTTTCATGAGTGTTGTATGTCTTGTGCTGCGTTACAACTACTACTCCTACTTTCGTGGCGTCTCTCATGATCATATGGTGGCTTTGTAACGTTAAACCCCACATATTATCAATCCTACTTTCGTATCGTTTTTTTCTGTATTTATTTTGTCTTTTATTAAAATTTAGCTCTCTCGGCCTTGCGTAAGCTTGAGCACACTTCGGAGTAACTGCTGTGGTTCATGTGCCTGGAAGAGAAGCATGCGACTGCAGGTTGCTCGTCGAGCGAATCACACGACGTGTGGCTGAGTGGCGATTCGTTGGCGTCGGTGCAGGTAATCTGTCAGACTTGGCACCGGCCTACCAGCTGGCCTTGTCCATCGTCTGCGAGGATTTTCCGGCGTCCCTGGAATGCGCGAACGGCCTCGCCGCAGCAGATGTGCCCTCTCTCGCTGAGCCACCGAATGCCGGCGGATACATCGATGAGGTGTCCAGGTATTACTGTAGGGAGGGGATGGCTCGGTTTGATGTGCTGGCAGTTGTGGACCCGGGAGCGCAATGGCTTTTTAGCACGCGCCACCATGACCGCGGGTGCTCTTTTCATCCGTTAGTCGAGTGCGTGTCTCTGACGCCCAAATCTAGGCAAAAGTACGCAGTTAGCAAGCATGTGGGGTGCTGCTCTGTTTTTCACATGAACTCTCGCGCGGATCTATAGAATGCTTTATTGGCCACCTCACGAAACTGGGCGTCTATAGAGTGCAAAGACGCCTGAACTCATCCCGGTTCGTTTTTATTGGAAGTAAAGCTTTATGACTGCTGCGCAATTTCACGACATCGCACATAAATTGTGGTAGCCTCCCGCTGCGCTTCTAATTTGAGATGCAAATAAACCCTAAGTATAATATCATAGTAATGATTCACATTTATTTTGCGCATGAATGTGCGCGCTATTGTAAACACTCAGTCGTGAGCAATATGAAAGGAAACATTGAAATTACATTTTAAAGACCACAGTGGCTAAGCCCATTCGATAAGCGTGAAAGTGTTAATTACAGTAAATGCTCTAGCTGAGAGGGGTCTCTTGCAGTTTAATACTCACGTTCATATCAGTATATTACCGGTAATCGTTGATTAAGCTCGAATTTGTTGCCGTACTCGTTGATTAAATTCGACTTCGTCGTTCTTTCTAATATTGCTCACAAGCGCACCGGATAAAAGCGGTGCACGACGGTGTAAGCAAATAATTTGGAAGACACCTACGATACTTTCGTGTGCATTTTGACATGCTGCTAATGCAAATTCGCCAGACGCTTCCGTGCGTGTTCATATGAGTGCATATCAGTGCGCACATATCAGCACGCACTAAACTATCATAAACGAGCCGCTTAAAAAAAACCTCACGAAAATCAGTAGCGCATTGCGTGGGTAGTTAATCGTGAAGACGCTTTCGACAGATTGCGGGTCGTCGGGTTGCAACGGATTGAGAAGATACTATAGGTCTACTTTCACTCTGGTCGGTACCCGCGGTGACACGATCGGCGTGTTTTCTCCTTTGCAGCATGGTGATCACAGAGCTTGAGGAAGAGTCGTCGGGCGACGGGCCACCGATTGCCAAGTGCGACAGGACGCAGCCGGTCAAGGCGGAGATGCTGAGCGAGGCTGCCGAGTGCGCCCCACACTCCTTGGGCAGCCGTGCGTTTCAGCCCGTCCTGTCCGGCAGCAGCACCCAGGACGGCACCAGCATCCACCAACCACACCAAGACGTGACCGCCGACTTCGTCAGCAACTTCCGGAAACGCAAGTGGGAGCAAGACCTGGTCGAACTGCAGAAGGAGAAAGTGCGCCGCCAAATCCAGTACCACAAGGTCCAGCACGAGCTCCAGATGAGCGTGCTCCGGTCGCAGATGGAATTCTGGGAGATGAAGAAGTCCAAGCTGGCTGCCGAGATACGCCAGGGTGGCATTCCCACGTTGCCGCCAACGTTGCCGACGACGGATGCCTCGTAGTCTGTGCTGCCGTCACTTGTGTTATGGTGCGAAAGGACGCCCCCGCAGTCGTCTTACGCGGCGTTGTGGACTCCTCCGTCAGACTCCGATACACCAGTGCTTGTAGAATGGCCATTTGACCAAACATCCGACGCACACAAATCGCATTCACCTGCTCGAAGCGCGTGCGCAAACATTCGTTGATATATTATGTGCACGCGAAAAAAAGCTGTCTCGCCCAGCGATGCCACGCTTGATCTCGTCTCATCACTGTATTTTGCGGCGTTTTAAGTCGAAGCAAGATATCGATCGAACTTGTATCCGAAATCGTATGAGAGAATGTTCACCCCGCCAAGAGTGGAAATTCTAGAAATGAAGAACAGCGCCGAATTATGAAATAATACGCTAAAAGAGCGGTTTTAATTTTTCTTCTGTTTTTTTGTATTTTTTTTCGGCCGTGTTGTTGACAGAGGGAGCAAGCTGGAGCTGCATTCTCGGGCGATCACTTCCGGAGATACTTTCGCTTTCGTGAGATTTCGCAAGAACAGCGCCGAACGCATCGGCTCGTACAAGTGGCAGTGCTTTCGGGGATCGCCCGACAATACCGGCCCTATCATGCTCACCCTATAACATCGACAATACGCATGGAGTCAGCGTTCCTTTTATGTTCGAGTCGAAACTACGAGATTATGCCAAAATCACGGTGTGTTCCTAGCTAAAGTATCGTATGAAATATTGTATGTGGTTTTTAAGTGGCTCAAGGACCAGATGTTGTCGAAGATCTCCATGGGTATAGCGTACAAATCAGACTAAATGGAGCCGTAAGTTCCTTACGACACAACTTACTTCTGTCACAATGAATGCCTTGAAATCGAGTAAAAAATATTTCAGTGGTATTTAGGCGTGTATGGTCACTAAGTGTAAACCTGCACTCATCAAGAAACGCCTGCCCGCACACTGGCCAAACACTTTCGCGATGATGGATAATGTATTGTGAAGAAATGAACCTGTTTTCGCCGGATAAATTCCAGTAGTTATGCTGTGTAAGTGATTAAAGAGTATGAAGTTGGGCGTGTTGGTAATACATAACTAACAACGCAGCGCGTAAAAAAACCGAGACACAGGACAAGGTAAGAGATAAAGAGGAGGAAGATAAAGAGAAGGTGAAGGAGGATAAAGAGGTGGAGGAAGGTCCCTTCCCTTGTCCTGTGTCTTGTCCTGTGTCTGAGTGCAACGATTTAAAAAAATCATGGAGCGATCGAGAACCCTGATCCAAAGAATGAATGTTTTTCCTCTAAAACGTGTCCTCGTATTATTTGGAAAAAATGACGCCACGCAGTAATTCACGCACTGCACTCTTGTTTTTGTTGAATTTCTGATGGAAAATGTGCAGCATAACACCCTAAACCATTTCACAATAATTTTCTTTAATGTTGTGGTAAGACGCTGATAAGACACACTACCAAATCGCGGGTGAACTGCTATTTTTTATATTATCCACTGAAACGTCAGTTTGACGCCTTTCACCTCAAGCATTTTCTTGCAGTTCATGCCGTTTTGACTTTTGGAACTTGCAAGCTCTGGAAACTTGTAAGCTTACCGTATTTCCTTTCTTCTGTTTACAATGTAGCCCACTTTAACCAATAAGTAAACTACTCGCATAGAAAATTTTCTCAATGCTCAAAACATCGTAGACAGCTGCTGCGGAAAATCTTATTGTGGCGTTGCCATGCATCCAGTACTTTCTTTGTTCTTTGCCGCCTTATCAAGCCCACTTTCCAGGTAAAGGTTCCTTTTGCTGGGTATTCGAGAAAAAGGTAATTTGCTATTACAGCTGAACTTTTCTGGTTGGTGTCCCTTCAAGGTTACAAACTGTAAGGCGCCATAATTATTGAGGCCAGTAGTGTTTCCGAAACGTGACGTCCTTGCTGGAACATTACATTTCACGATTCGCAAAAATGTTGGATATAATGAGCACAATAACAAAAGTGCTTCTTTGCCCTTACGAACGCTAGCAGAAAACACCATTTAAACACTTAGAAAGCGAGAGAATAGTGTCAAAGTTACGCTGTAAGGGCGAAAGAACTAACGCGAGAGCAACAAATTTTACGCTGTGGGAAATAAGCCTAATATCTAACTCCTTTATCGTTCGACCTGGCGTAAAACTTTACTTATAAAACGTTAAACTCACGCTAGCATAATAAAACGCGACCGCTGTCGCGTATCGTTTTAGTGCAGCCTTAGCGGTGAGAACACGGCATGTGCAAATGTATGAGCCTCCAGCTCGTACACTTGTGATGCAGGGTGCCCGGGACCGCCCCCGGTCGCTCAAGGGAGGCAGTTCATGCCGGGGCCACTCCGAGACACCCCACGGACCTTACCGCCGGACGGCCGACTCGTTTCCTCTTTGCTTGAGCTGCGATCTTCGGCAGCCCTTGCACACTTTCACTCGCACATAGGACATACAATAATTGGGCCCTAGCCTTTATACAGAACACGACGGCGATGGCTAAAATGCGCATGGAGTGCATAACTTTCACTGAAATAAAAATTCAAAAGACATGTCGGCCCTGCTATATGCAGGGCTTGTCATTTCATGTGAGGTATTTGAGGTGAAGGGAAGAGACGGAGAAAACAAAAGACAGCAACTCCATGAAGACGTGTAAGCCGAAGAAGCGCCCTCTTAGGGGCTTATGGAAAACTGTGTGAAGACTTCTACTGCGTGTGTGTATCGAAAGTTGTGGTTTAATGTCGATACACCTGACTAATACATTAGACCGTGGTCTATGAGCCGACAACAAATGTTGCAGTTGTCATGCACAGAATGACCGCGAGTTCTTTTTATTATTTTTCTAATAAAGTCAGTCCAAACTTCATTATGGCAAGACAACTACAACCATGAGTTTGGGTGATCTGTGCACCATTGATAGTGAAATTGAAGGGCCAGCTGCGCTTGCTGGGCCAAGCTGATGAATAATAGTGGCACAACGCTTTTAATTCGATCCGAAAGCCTCGGAAAGTCCTCCATGATGGTTTAGCGGTTATGTGCTCGGCTGCAGACCTGAAGGTCGCTGGTTTGATCCCGGCCGCAGCAGTCTCATTCGGATGAAGGCGAAATACTAGAGGCCCGTAGACTATTTGATGACAGTGCTCGTTAGAGAACACCAGATGGTCGAAATTTTGGAAGCCCTCAGTACGGCATGCCTCATAAAAATAGTGCGTTTTTGGTACGTAAAACCCCAGCTATTGTTCTTTTATTATTAATAACATGTTAGCGCTAAAGAGCACGTTCTCCAGAAGTTTCGGTGCCGACGTGGGCGTTGTTGGTTATGAGCGAAAAATAATCTTGTACGTGATTGCGAAATCGAGAAAGATGCAACTAAAAATAAATAATGAAAATTGCGGGCCCGAGTGTATACATCGAGCCGAGGCCGTTTGTGTGGCAAACAGGGGAGCTATTCTCGTGGTGTCCATTTAGTGGACATGTCTAATTCACCAGAGCGTGTTCAGTTACGTAAACAAACAAACAAAAACGGTGAATCGTGACGCATTGGCGCGCTTAACCACGTGAGCGCACCTGAACCTACCAGCACATTATTATCAGCATAGAAAGAAACTAAGTGCACTTGACAAGTCTGCGTGTACATACGAACGTGTTCAGATGTTTGAACAGCAATGCAAGGAATGCGTACACACCTTTCAGGAGCATCAGGCGGGCGGCCGCGTTAAATCTAATTCAAGGGCTAACGTGAATAGAGGCTATGCACGACCTCAGAGATGTGCACCGATAAGCGGATCTCTGAAGCAACATTTGTTGTGCTTAAACGCATTCCGTCTTCATCATTTGAGTGGAGAGTTGTGAAAGCTGCGTGGCGTCAAACTGACGTTGGGGGAAAAAAAAGGGCCTGAAACAGGCGGCGCGCTTCAGCCAATCACGGGAGGCCGAGTTGGACATGTCCACCAACTGGACCCCGCGAAAATAGCTCCCAAGGTGTTCTGCCACACAGCCACGCTTCTGCTTGGAAATACAGTGAGAATAATTTTCATGTTTTACAAGCACAGGCTTGGCAATACAAAAAGTAATATCACAGTAATATTACATAGTATACAGCGCACATTGCCGTTGGGCGTCTAAACATGTGATTATCATAGTAGCTTCGGGGCTTAAAGCCGTCCACCCATTACAAAAGGCACACACGTCATTGCGCGTATTTCTTAAGACCACTTAGTTGGTGCATAGCAAGTTCGAACATATTTCACGAGCGTGAGTGCTCGTACGTACTTTAAAAGCTGCCTATTACAGAGAATGCAGCCATATGTGAAAGCTCCCCCCAAGGTCCGCTATTGCGTTGAACTCTTAGGCCAAGTATATGGGTCCCCCAATTTTTAGAGGCTCGGCAAGGCTTTAAAGTTCGTAATGCTGAAACAGGAACAAAAAAAAAAACAAAACTTCATAACACTCCACCAGATGCGACGCATGACTAGGAAAACACGACCCCTAGATGTGCTGAGATCAATATCTCTCAGGCGACGTACTTTATATCTGATAATGGGAAAAGTTATGGACATATTCTGGAATGGGCTGGTTATTCGAAACTCGAAAGCGATTGTTCTTGTTAGAGAGTTTCTGGTTAGCGACCAATTAGCAGTTACATATGCTAGCTATCAAAATTAATCTGATTATTCTTTTTAGTTTATAACAAATTAGTCGGCGATGATGAAGAAAAAAATAATATAACGTAGGGAGTTTAAATAAAATATATCTAGTTTGCCACCTTACACGTGCAGAAAGGAAAAAGGAAATAAAAGAGAGAGATGTACATTGCACACCACACATACAGTGCAGGGTTTCACTGGCGGTCGCTCATTGCCTTCAAGCATTGTAGAAGGGCTGGTGCGGCTTTCTGGCCAGTAGATCCTCCGTGAGCGGTCACAACGTGGTTTATTTCGACGTTTCGGCCTAGAGTGATACAGTTTGTTGGTGCTCAGCTTTATACAATCTCGAATCAGAGGGCAAGGAAAGAGAAAAAAAAGACAGAAAAGGAAAAAAAAAACAAAAAAAGAAAAAAGAAAGAAAACGACAAAATGTTGACAGGGCGCGGAGTAGTTAAAGGCTTAGAACTTCCTAAAATGCCCGCTTACCAGCCTCTGCCACAATACGCGGCACCCCTCCTTCTACGACGAATTGTTTACGGGACTCCGAGTAGTTAAAGGCTTAGGACTTCCTGAAAAGCTCTTTTTTGCCCCCCACCGGCCCGCCAGTGCCAGGAGGGGCCGTCTGATCGGGAGGAATGCGTTAGTGAACGGAAACATACACAGACCGCTGACATCAGAAAGGTGAAGGGGAGAAGGGGGAGAGAGATGAAGGGGGAAGTGGAGGGGGAAGTGGAAGGAAGAGTGGAAAGAGGCACCCGAGGGGCGTCCACCGTATATCATTTTTCCCTTCTTCTTCTTCGTCTTCTTCTCTTTTTTCTTCTTTTTCTTTCCTTTTTCTTTTTTTCTTTATTTTCCATTTTTTTCCTTTTCTGTCTTTTTTTCCTCTTTCCTTGCCCTCTGACTTGAGATTGTATAAAGCTGAGCACCAACAAACTGTATTTTTAATCCTGATGAAGGCCAGACTCTAGGCCGAAACGTCGAAATAAACCACGTTGTGACCGCTCACGGAGGATCTACTGGACTATATGCAACGCTACGGCCACTCAACCACCATGCCTGCCTATATATATATATATATATATATATATATATATATATATATATATATATATATATATATATATATATATATATATATATATATATATATATATATATATATATATATATATATATATATATATATATATATATATATATAAGTCACCAGAAGAAGCGAACGAGCAAACGAAAAACGATGCTTTATTGCCAACGTTACGGCCGGGGACCGGCCTTCGTCAGGGCATACGTGCATATTAGACTAACACGCACTTCTTAAAGACATAGCATGGGGGCCCGCAATTGTGAATCATCACTCTTAGCAATATTGACATACATGTTAACAAAAAGATATTCAGACATGCGCAGCATTTTGTTGATAGCAGAGCAGCAGCGCGCTATACAGAATATGGTAGGGCAAGGTGACTTGAAAGCATAGATACAAATAATATGATGGACACTTGTGATATCGCAACATTTGTGAATGAACAAAAAAAGGCAATGCCATGGTAAGTTACGTTCGTTGTCAGTGAAATATACACGAGCATAATATCACCATTGATGTCACAAATGTGGTAACAGAGTGTGCATGCATTCTGGT